TTGTCTGCTTCTGCCTACTTCTGGGGAATGTTCTCCAGCAAAAGAAGTGAGAAGTTACAAGGTATTGGGTTATTAATAGTTATCAACTTCAGGGGTGTCCCGAGGCCGGGTGTCACCTGAAGCAGATACCGGGTGACACCCCGCCGTGATGTCATCGTGCATGCGTGGTCCTCTCTTTGATACTTGTCGGCGGCCATCTTCGTGATGGATGCCGGCAGAGAGAGGAGGGGATGTTCACCTGGCGGGATGAGGTATGACGTCGGGTTCCCTCCTCTCTCTCCTGCAGCTGTCGGGCTCTCAGTCATTTTGGTGTCACCCCTCCAATGATGTCACCCGGGTGCAGGCCGCACCCCCCGCACTCCATTGTGACGCTCCTGTTTAACATTTATTCTGCCATTTATTAATATTTCTTCTGCAATGGCCAATTACTAAGCCAGTGATGTAGGCTGGGAAAGAAGATAAATATTTGGAGAGAGCCACTTAAAGGGGTTATTCCCTCCCAGGCTTTGCCTAGAGAGGATGGGTGTGTGTGAAGGGTCCAGTCTTTGCATCTCTAGCCTTCTGTCTGAATGGGAAATACTGTGTGTCCACACAGTATTTCCCAAGAGCTTAGGGAAAGCTGCTGCATGGAGACCTCCTCCTTTCTTCAAACATGAAGGACATAGGCCTTGTTTTCACCATGCTCTAAAGATGTAAGTCAGATCTTCATATTATTATTTTAATAGTTTGATTGAAATACCTTAAAATGTGTCGCTAAATGCACTATAAAGTCTTGAATTTTAATTTATTTAGCATGCCATTATCACCCCCCTTGTTTCTATTAACATGGAAATATACCCTCCTATCATTTATAGCCAAGGAAGGTGCCATCTTGGCCTCTATTTGGATGGCAGTTGCCATGGTGCTGTACATGTGATCAGCTATGACACCAGCCATAGGGCATAAAAGTTTGGTTGGGTGTTGAAATAAGCACACTGGCAACCTTGACAGCTGGTATGCCTTAAAAGTGACTGTTTTTGGAGAGCATTAAATTGGTGAGTCTAGTTCCGCTTTAATACCTTGAATTTTATTTAGCATATTGTTATTATTCCCATGTTTCACCACAGTTCACTCACTACGTGCACCACTAATGTTTTCGGGGGAATTTATTAAGACTGGAGCAGACAGAATCTGGAGCAGCTGTGCATGGCAACCAATCAGCTTCTCTCTTTCATTTGAAAAGCTTAATTGAACAAGCTAAAGATGGAAGCTGATTTGTTACTATGCATAGTTGCTCTAGGTTTTGTCTGCTCCAGTTCTAGTAAATTCCCCCCCAAGATAATTGTTTTTCACATAAGAGCCAGAGGGGAACAGTTGAGGAGGTAAGAGGGATAGAAAGATTTGTTCAAAAAGGAACATTTGGGGACTATGGGTTAACGCCTATTAAGATCCAGCATTCACCAGTTTATTTTGCTGTCTCTCTGCAAGTTCAAGATTGTAGTGCACTATTGCTTGCCAGACTGATCAGTAAAGTTTGAGTGGAAAAGCTAAGAAAACCCATGTCAGGTTCTTATGTGTGTAGCCCCCATCACCTTTTGTGATTTTTTGTGATTGCCAGGGCTGTAGTCAGTCTGGATGGATTATAGTTGCCATTTATCTGGTTAATTCCAGGTGTCTGGCATTGACTGTACCTACCTGGGTGGAGTGTCACTCTACTGTAGTGTGGGACAGCCAATGAGGGGCATTGTGAGTGTATGTGCAGTTCAGCAGCCAATTACAGGGTCTTTCTCAAACAGTGTTGCATGCTGGGATAGGGTACATATACTGGAGGGAATTGCCATGTGCTCGGTCTAGTTTTGCACCATCCATGGATTAGTCCAGGTTTGGGTGCTGTCCAGTCTGCCCCCCAGGCAAGGCCTGAGGCCTGGGGGTGGGCAGAAGCTGGAATGCGGGAATCACTGGGCCTCAATTATTGGGGAGGCCTGTGCTGTTGTCAGAACCAGAGAAGCTGATGGCTACTGGAGGTGTTGGGAACATAGTGGATCTCGGGAGCCAGTCTGGTGTCTCTCCTGCTGAGGATCTGTGCTCATTTCCTACTCATCCGCTACTTAAATTCCTATGCACTGTGTTACAAATTGATCTACACTGAGATGCAAAAAGAGTCTGGTGAGTCTGGTGTCTGTGTCTGTTCTACCCTGGATGTCTAGGACCCCTATACCCTCTCTCCCCAGTGTAAAGATGTTAATAAAAGTTATTCTGCATTATACTACTGGAGTGGATCTCAGCTTTGTGGGCACTAGAAGAGGGTGGTTAAATGCTAATGGGGTAGCTGAAGACAAAAACCCCTAGACAGACTAGTGATGACCCGGGTTATTTTGGCGGCTCCTTCAGGGTAGGGCACTACATGTGTAATCAGTTTTTATTTATTTTTGCATAGCAAGCATGAACAGGTAAAAGACCATTGTTACAAAAGCCATTGAAGACATTCAACACACAGCTCTACATGGTTTGAGAAGGTCCATACATGACATGCGTAGAGAGACATGTATATTACACCTTGATTCAGTACCAGTGGTAAAGAGAAACATAAAATAACAGTTTATTTCAACCCATAATATGTTGTTTTCTTTTGTGGCTTACATTTCTAAAATATATTGAATGGCACAACATTTCCCATAAATGTCCCAATTGATATTTTACTGAATGAATCATGTGAAGACGTGCGGGGGTCATTGAACATTGAGTTGGCGGAGGGGTCACACAAGAGGGAGTAGTGTGAGAAGTAGCATAGAGAAGGGAGAAAAGGGGGAAGAAAAAAGGGGGGTAATTTATGGAGTGGGGAAGAAGGGGAGGTTCTCCAGTCACTTTACAGGTATGTATTGCGTCAGGACTTAAAATGATCCCATGTCATTAGGTATAACTTAAATTTGTCTTCTTAATTTGTGCTATTGCATTCATTTCACAAACCTACTGAGCCAGTGATGGAGGTTCTTGGGATCTACAATATCTGGAGATGGTGGAATGTGCTATGAAATTATGTAGTAGGCCACGTATATTATGTTTATAGGGTTCAGGTATGGTGGATAGTAGCGTATTATGGGGTATGTATATTTTCCGTGTGATTTGCTTGTAGATAACTAGTATGTTCCTCCTAGAATGGCCAGATTTGTCCTCATTCTCTCTTACATCTCCAGCAAGTATCAGATTCTTGGATGAGACGATTATATAGGTTGCCGGTCACGTGGGTAGGTTTGGGTTCTTGAAGAATGACAGATTCAAAACTTGTTGCTTGTCTAGTGATATAGTCACGTGGCATTTCATTTAGTTGTAGGTGTCCTAGCCACAAAGACTGTTTGTTGTGAACAAGAGGAAGGAAATCTGAGAAAGGAGGAAGTTGGCAGCCTTGGAAGGTTTGTATTATTCTAGTGCCTAAATCTTTGTTTATGCCAAATTAGGAAGTTACGTATATGTGAAAGTCTAATTTGTTTAATTAAAGGTGTCATAGGGGAAGGTCTAGAAGAAAAGTAACCAAGATAATATGGAGGATACTAGTATAGATAAGGTTTTTGTTTTAGGTTGGAAAGCTTTTATTATCTAGGGAAAGGAGATTACAAGATTAGTTCAACGTTTGTCCTGTCAGGTGTGGAACTAGATGACAATGCTGGGGACACCAGCTGCATGAAAGTATAAGGTCAAGTGCTCCCCTATGCGTTGGTCACACCAGAGTTTTCCAATAATACACCCAGGGCCGGATTCCCAGCAAGGCCAACTGAGGCCCAGCCTCGGGGCAGCAGGGAGTATTGGGGCAGAAGGGGTGTAGAATTCCTATCTCCCTATGCCCCGGGAGATGCAGTTCCGGGCGCCGGGCAAATAATGTAAAGCAGAGAAGCCACCGCTTGTTTTGTACAAGTGATCTCAGCGATGTCGGAGATATCTCTTTTATGCAGCCTGCATACAGGGGGGCGCATTGAGGACCTGGCATTGGGGCAGCAGAGACAGCCTGGCCCTGGATACACCGTGGGGCATCATCAGGGGGCGGCTGCAAGAACCTGGAAGAGACATGATGACGTCAGAATGAAGATGGCGGTGTGGGACCCCACGTGCTGCCTTATACGAGAGAATGTTGTATTTGTGTATTTGCTGGCCGCGTGAGTATGTTTTTTGAGGACAACCCAGCCGACCAGATGAGAGGAAAATAACAAATTGTAAAGGGGGAGTGAAGTTCCCCCAGAACTGATATTTCATGTTTCCGTCGCTATCCAACTCCTAAAACTCCGACACTTCCCGGAGAGATGCTTGCCACATTTCTGTCAGAGTTGTGACAGATTCTGATTCACTTTACTGACATGTACAGATTTCTAAAGAGTATCTGTGACACTCTTTCTGAGTTCCAGGGATTGTCTCTTACTTCCTGTTGTGTCTCCCAGACAAGAAGTTAAAGGAAACCTGCCCAATGGGCTACAGACATTAAAGAAAAGGGAATTTTACTATAACGTACTCTTACCAAACATTAAAAAAAAAGTCGGTCTTTAGATATTCTTTAAACTAATTGCATGCTCTTTGGTATCAGTTCTTGGTTTTATGTTTCACTTTTATTTGAAATTTCTAACACTTTATTTTCCTCCTAAACGGTGCCGTTTCCTCGTTGTAGAATAATTATATAATTATATACCCCATTATAGCTCTGTGTGTACATACAGCACACTACCCTGACACTTTGATCCCGGGTGAGCGACCATTAACCCTCTCCTCTCCCCTCCAACACGGTGGAAGCCGAGGAAGAAGGCAGCTGTTGTGCGCTGCGCCTTTAACAGGAGCTTCCTGACGGGGAGAGTCATGCAGTGGGGATTGGTCACATGACCCGAGTCTTGTGACTGGACGCACACAGCACATTACAGGGAGGAAGAAGAGGAAGGACACCTGGCTGTGTGTAGTGGCCGGCAGTGGAGGGATCACCTGTCGGTGTATAGTCCGGACTGAGCGACCTACACATTGCTGTATACAGCTCACTGGAAGAAGGCATGGATGCCAAGCCCTACGTGGAAGAAGCCGTGGCGCCAAAGCCGCTTCTACAGGACCGTCCCCCAGCCTACAGCCCGCCTGTACAAGGGGGGTACGACTATGGGCAGCAAGCCAACTATGGAACTATTCCTGGAGCCCCCCAGACTGCAGCTCAGACCGTCTACCAACCCCCTCCATACCCCTACCCCACGGGCACAGGTGGGTATCTGCATGGCACTGACACTACGACCTGAACATCACAAGTATACACGGTGCTAGACAACCAGGAAGTGTGTGTGTGTGTGTATGTGTGTGTCTGTATAATAATATATGTGGGTGTTTTTATAGAGATAGTTGTGTGTGTTTATATATATACATAATAATTTTATAGTGTATAATATGTGTGTGTGTGTGTGTGTTTATGGAGAGAGGGAGAGATATCAATTAAATTAGACCTGTAGTGTAGCATGTGAACGCACGCAAAATGCAGCGATTTGTGTGCACTTTCAAGATGAGCGGCAAGCACACGGTTAAAAAAATGCTTGAAGCTGCAGAAAGTTCCGAATTGTCTTTGTGGTGTGTAGGGCGGCCCATTGAAATGGCTGTTGTGGGTTTTTTGCATTCTCCAGTGGAACACGTTAATTACTTGGAGATGGTTGTAAGGCGTGAAATTGCGCATTTGTCAGACGCTCTCACTGATGTCTATTGGGGCCATAAACGGCGATCATTCCTCATAGGTGTTCCTGTACTTTTTCTGAGCACGGAGTGACAGCACGTCAATCAGATGTGAACAGACACAGTAGAATAACATGGAGTGTTGACCGTTGATGCACTTTAAAATCGCTCAGGTGTGAATGTGGGCTACGTGTAATGAATTTGATTGGATTGATTCTAGCGTGGAAAAGGTTGGGGCACTTTTTAAAATGGAGTTCAGACTGTCTGCCAACCTCCTCCATACCCCTACCCTACGGGCATGGGTGGTATCTGGATGGCAGCTGACATTAATTCCTGAACATCACAAGTAGACAATTAGTAAAGTGCTAGAGAACCAGGAAGAGAGGTGTGTGTGTGTGTGTGTGTGTGTGTGTGTTACTGTATGTACAGGGGAAAAAAAATCATATTAGCCACATAAGGTATAGTGTGTCCCTTTCTGCTGCCGTGAAGGAACACATGACTCCTTGGCTAGTTCTGTCTTCCAGCTGGCTTCAGGTCTGGACACATTGGGGGGAACGTATCAAAGCTGGAGCAGACCGAATCTGGAGCAGTTGCTCATAGTAACCAATCAGCTTCTCTCAAGTTTATTCAGTTAAGCTTTGAAAATGAAAGATAGGAGCTGATTGGTTGCTACAGTTTTGTTAAATTCCCTTCATTGTCTAATGCACTGGTGGGCAACTCTACAAATCCCAGACTGTCAGTCTTGCAATGCCTCATGAGACTTGTAGTTCCACAACAGCTGGAGGACCGGAGTTGCCCACCCCTGGTCTACTGCGTCTGTCTATGTATTTCATCCATACAATCAGTAACTGTAAAACTTTTAGTTCAGTCTGGAAACTAACAGGAACTTGTAGGTACCGACAGATCAGACTTGAAAAGTTTGTACGTGGGGCTATTAAGATATAGATGTCTCGATCACATTTTAGAGAAGAGCATTCTGCATACATATAGACATCAGTTTGATGGGTGGGGGGCACTGCCAAGTGATGCTTGCATAGAAAACGATGGGTAACTTTAAAGAATAATTCATCGTTTGGAAAACAAAATCATTTCATTTACACGCATCGATGAAAGAAAAAATGTGCTTTGGTAAATTTTTTTGCATTGGAGCCAGTACAGCATTGCTGATTCAATCAGTGGATTGTGGGTGCAATGCTCAGAATCCTGCAGACTATTCCTCCAGCACCAGGTCCATACCAAGGATACAGATCTTCGGTTATGGGACTGCAGGAAGCAATCAGTGGACTACGAGTGTGATGACTTCACTGCATTCGTATTCCATTGAGATCTCATCAGATCTGGGACTGGTAGTCTGTTCATTCAGAGTTCCTTTGAATGGATGATGCGGCTGGAGCCAGGTGCTGCCATGCCATATCCAAGCAGAAGCCTGTGGGCAGAAGAACCCCCATGTTTTTGGAAAGTGGGAGGGTGGGATGTGACAATGTCTTATCCTAAATGAACATGAAACATGGGTCCGAAGGGTCAACAGCACTCCACAAACACTCCCCACTCCATTTCCGTGTGTGAGCCATGAAGGTCTTTCTGGTGGCGGCAAAGAAAAGGTGCGCTTTTACCTGTACTAACATTGGTACAAACAGAAGCTGCACTCCATAGATCTCCTAACTTCAATCCACACATTATTGTGCATATAACAGATACACCATACAAACACTCCCCAGGAGGGTGGACTATTTTTTTTTTTTTCTCCAGTAGGGAAACATTCTGCTCTCTATTCATACCTAAAAATCAGATGTAGGTGGAGTTGGGCTTGCAGGCCTGGAGAGGTGCCTTTTATGAGGTTTTAGAGTCTTTTTAGAGAAGCTCCGGAGCCTTGAAACCAAGGGACATTATTATGCAAATTCCAATGTTGAGCAGTGGTGCTGCTTCTTCTCACCCAGTGAGGGCATCCTGATGTTGCGTTTTTTTAAGTCTAAACGCCGGTATGTGTTCGCTCACCTGCCGATCTACTGAGCCGACCTGTGACAGTGTCATTGTCACAGGTCGGCTAGAACTGTGAGTTGAGTGAAAAGCACTCACCACATAGTTCTCCTTTAAGCTGGGGCCCAATCTACGTGCCCCTCATGACTCCCTACGTGTCGTGATACAAAAAATACTCTTAACCACAACTGTATTTAACAGTGCTTGAAGAAGACCATAGCAAGCCTAAGGGCTTGTTCACACCAAATCCGGACCTGATCTGCATGAGTTTCTGCACGTGCAGTGTGTTTTGCCGTGTTCCAGACCATTTTTTTGTTGTTGCCTAAAATGGGCTTTCAGTGCGTTCCAGGGTGTTTGCATGTGTTTTTTATGCGTTTGCATGCATTTTGGTGCGTTCCAGAGCAGAAAAATAGGGCATGCTGCAGTTTTTCCACATGCACTGGAACTGAATGCGCTGGTGTGAACTACAGCCCAAAATACCATTGGAATACATTAAATGTATTTTTGATGCGTCTAACTGCTCTGCTCTCCATCTGCTCCGCACTTGGTGTGAACAAGCCCTTAGGGCTTATTCACACCTATGCAGACCAGATCTGCATGAGTTTCTGCACACGCAGTGCAGTGTGTTTTGCTGTGTTCAGGGCCGGTTTTGAAAAAAAAAAACACTTTTAGTTTTTAAAATGGGCTTTCAGCGCGTTCCAGTGCATTTGCATGTGGAACGCGCATTTTGATGCGTTCCAGAGCAGGTAAAATATGGCTTGCTGCAGTTTTTTTTACATGCTCTGGAACTGAATGCTGCGGTGTGAACCTGAGCCCAAAAAACCATTGGAATACATTGGATGCAGTTTTGATCCGGTCTGGAACTGCTCTGCTCCTGGAATGCACTTGGTGTGAACAAGGCCTAAGGGCTAGTTCACACCAAGCGCGTTCCAAGAGCAGAGCAGCAAGCTCTATTTTACCTGTTCACACCCTACATATGCGGTGGTGAGCAAACCTTCAATGTGTATTACAGCCCATGGGAACTGTTACCCAGATTGGGGCTGAGAATTCTTGCTTGACATGGCAGTAATGTAGTAGGGTAAGGCACACTGATTGGGGTAGGATGGCTAGAGATTAAAAAAGACTTCAATTTACTGCTGGTTTTATAACCCGCATTTAGGAATATGCACACAGTATGTGAACTAAAGTTTTATAAAAGTTAGGGACGCACCAACTTGTCAGTCATCTATAGCAGTGGTTCCCAACCTGTTTAACCCCAGGATCCGCATTTGTCCTCGGTCATAAAGTCGCGACCTAAGTCGCACTGCAATGGAACACACGGTAGGCTGAGGAGCCTCTCGCCTAGAACATTGGAAGGTATACGATGACCCACTGAACGGGGGGTCGCGACCCACTTTTGGGTCACGTCCCCCCAGTTGAGAAAAAAGGCTCTATAGGCAATGGGAGAGGTGCCAATCTGGTGAGTTCTTTGTCATGTTGATTGAGTATTTTGCTGAGCAAATGTCATCCCAGGGTCATGTGACCACATCCTGTTACAAGCATGAACCTCTGCAATGATCACTCCTAGGCTGCAACTCGGGAATAGGGAGGAGGACAGCCAGATCATGTGATCTGGTCATTAGCTGACTATTTTATGGTATTTTGTCTTTTGAACTAGCTCTATATTCTGTTGTCTTGACTCCAGTTTGTACTTGGGGCTCTCACAAGATCACAAGCAAAGAAGGCCTTAGGCCCCATTCACACGTGCTATGCACGTGGACACGCGTCACACTCGTGGTGCCATTCATTGGTAATGCACCCCAAATGAGGAAAGCAAAATGTGCCCTTTTGTATGTATAAAAATGCGTTTTGCCATGTGTTCTGGCTTGTTCAGGTCTATTAAAACGCAGCAAAATATACTGCAGTGCATGGAAAACACGTCTGTGCTTTTTTTTTTTTTTTTATGAAAAAACGTGTGTAGGGCTTAGAATATGAAAGGTTTTTATGCTGGTAAAATGTCAGCAATGGTTAGTCCCTTTTTCTCAATAGGGAGTTTTCCAATTGTTTTGTTGCTGCTCGTCCATAAATAAAATGTATTGATTGCTCCAGGAAGGAAAATCACTTCCACAAGGGTGTTTTTTAATGAGGTGTTTTTTAATGGTTAGATCCTGTTTTTTTTTTTTCCATAGGTGTGCTGTTGGCTACATTCTTGTGTGCAAGGGCAGTGTTCATTTCTTTGGTCCGTAAAATGGTGTGAACCTGCCCGCAGTTCCAGTGCATTCCAGACACAATGAAATATGCAGTATTATTCTGGTCTGGTCTGGAATGGACTGCGCTGGTGTGAACAGAGGCCAGAAATAGCATAAGGATACATTGGGATGCTTTTTGGGTCCGGAAACAATCTGGTCTGGTCTGGTGATGATGTGGTGTGAATGGGCCCTAAGAAATATTTCTTAAAGGTGTTTGTATTTATTAGTCAGTTGATATACTACACTAGAGATAAGCAAATCTCAATAAGACGATCAAGACTGCCCTCCTCTGCTTCAGGGAAAAGGGGAAGAGGACCTAACCTGATCAGCTGGACTTCG